TACACACGCAACAACATTGCTTGTCTGTAAACGTCTTTTCACACACGCAAGAGAAATCCGAAACCTACATTTTACGAGATCTTCCGAACATACTGCAGTGATTATTTACCATACGACAGTTGGGAATGAATGTTACAAGATAACAGGGATGTATAATTAATTGTTTTGAGAATAATTAATATTTGATAATAATATATTCGTTGGGATAGTAACATTTAGACTATACACACAATGTTGTGTCCAATAAATAATATATGAAATAGATTAAGTTACATATGACACATAGTAATACGACATATAGTGCTAAACAATACTGCTTCATCAAATAATATGAATCATTATTCGGTGTATTACAATTTTTGTGATTAGTGTATGATGTAATAAAACAGAGAATAATCAGAGCAAATTCGTATGCATGTGATATCATAGAATTTAAATTATCATCAGTCGATATTCCGTTTTACATAATCAAAGGCTTGTCCGAAGATGCGATTTGTGGGTTGTTTAATAAGTTTTCACTTAAAAGACTAACTTTGTAGTTCGTGGTATTTTTATTTATGACAATATGTATAAATAAATGTTCAATACCAAGTAATACTGTATAATTTTTAAATTAAATTTAGTTGTACGAATTGTTTTGCAACTTTTTACAATTCAGTATCCTATTAATTATTGTCAAAGAGCTATCAGTCCTTCTTGGATCTTGTAATAAGTGTATTTATCTTTATAATTCAATTTATTAAAAATTACCATATTTAAAGACCCATAAGTGACGGAAATCGTACGACATGAACAATATTCAGAGCATATTGAGTATAATCTTATCTTATATAATATATTTACTTTTTTTAGAAAATATACGGTGGAAAAATATATCATCGAACTCAAATTCAAGTTTAATAAATATTCATTATATAATAAGTACACAAACAAATTATAATTAGTATTCGAGACTAGGTTTGAGACTTTTCTTAATCAATCATCTTCAAAGTGATGGATAGTCAAACAATCAAAACTATGTTTGGCATTTCAATAAAACTTCCCTAGAGTTTGTCTTCAGTAATTGCTTCAGATTTTGGTTAGGTTTTAGGTAATATAACGCCTTTTGCTATTTTGAATATTGATAATAGGAAACGGCAATAAATTAGCACATCAAGTTTTTTAGTGTGGTAGATATGATATTTTTAAAGAGTTAGGTATCAAAAGTAGTAAAATAGTAAAGCTAATAATCGTTTAGAGCTACGCTAGTTAAGCAAAATAATCTGCTTCACACAAAGAAAAATCTTAACACTTTATCCCTCAATAGTTATAATACAAGAACCTGCAGTTCAAAAGCTACACCTTCCACTAAACTGAGTAATGAGCTAAATCTTTTTGAATAAGCTGGTGTAGCGTTGTTGATCCTTTTGAAGCACATCCAGCTGATTATGACCATACAAAAATTAAAACACATGTATCTTTAAAATTACATACGAAAAAAATACATTACAAACGACACCCTGTATATAGGTAATTAGCCTTAGAGGGTTTTCTTTTATCGTTGGACGCTAGGCACGAGCCCGGAATTGTTTTTCACATTAATTCAGGCTAGACCTTGGGTTTGTGGCATTATCACTTATATAAAATCCATCGGTGATTTGGTGGGATTTGAACCCAGGACCCCAGGAACTAGAGTCCGCGCTCTAACCACTAGACCAGCTCGCTCCCCATTAGCCTTAGAGTTAGTTTTATCTAAAGTAAAAATCTAAATTGATATCAGTTTGTTTTTAACATAAATCATTAACATGACGAAACAATATTAGGAACTCATGATTAATATACTCAAATGCAGACCCTTCTGTCACCGAAGTAATTCACAAGAGTAATCAAAACGACACTCCAATCAAAATATTCCAAGCTTATAAAACGTTTATTCACTCAGTCCATCGACCCAATAATCCCAGCTCTTGATTTAAGAGCTGTATTTTACCACACCTTTCTATTCTATCGAAATTCGTACGGAAGAAAAATTTATTTACATTTAAATAAATGCTTTGTAAATTTAATGTAAGTAAATTTAATGCTTTGGTTGGTCACGCAACGAGTGCACGATAACTCAGTGCAAAAGAAGTAGGTTTGATCTGTATTCTCTAACAATGAGTGGTGTTGTGATTCAACTCAGTAAAATTTTTAGCAATGTAAAAAAAATCTATTAAAACTGCAAATACGTTTTGTCAATTAAAGTCAATGAATTATACAACTTCTTCAAAGGGACGGATTAGATAAAAATTGTTGAAATATATGTTTTTCTGATGAAAGATAACTTTGATCCTATTTTAAAATTATAAATATATTTACAATTAAAATATAAAAGGGCTAACCAATATAAGAATTATAGGAAACCTTTCTATAGTGTGATTCAATAACTATGTTCTGGAACTTATTTTATTGATTACACCTTGCTGATGGACAGGTAAAATATTTTGTTTTGCAATTGCTAGAATAAGAAAATATCTGCATCTTATAACATTAGTTGAAAATTCATACTCTTATACAGTTAATTATGGGCCTTAAGCCTATTACATAACGTTTCTTAACCTTAATAAGCGATGCCTATTTTCAGTAAACTGTAAAAGAGATCACCATTAGATGCAGGTTTGAGTAGTACTCATTAAGAAGATAATATTATTCCGTCCTATATTTACAGCCGTTTTAACTTAACATTGACCTTAGTTTCAATGTAAATATATTTACAGAGTGCGTAGCTCTTTTCCAGTGGGTTACAATAACAAGTATAAAATTAGTATTACTCAAATAACATATCTGGTGCTCAGTTTTGGAGGGAAAAAGATTTACAGAGTGCGTAGCTCTTTTCCAGTGGGTTACAATAACAAGTATAAAATTAGTATTACTCCCATTACATATCTGGTGCTAAGTTTTGGAGGGAGATAGATTTACAGAGTGCGTAGCTCTTTTCCAGTGGGTTACAATAACAAGTATAAAATTAGTATTACTCCCATAACATATCTGGTGCTCAGTTTTGGAGGGAGATAGGTTTACAGAGTGCGTAGCTCTTTTCCAGGGGGTTATGATAAACGAGTGTCACTCCCGTACAATTTGTTATCGTTCATTGGTCAGCTCTCCCCAATAACTCATTCTGACCCAACCTTTACCACGAGATGTATTTACTGGTCAATTATTTATCACTTGTTACGTGGGTAACATTATGATGTGTGTTACGAAACATTTATGATTGTGGGTAAACTTCGCCAAAGGAAATCTCCCAAACTAACTATGGTAGGCTACTGATTAGGATGCCACGCAAATGAAGACGACGACGCAGTGGTTGCAGACTGTTCGGACTTAATTCAAAATTCTATGCTCTTAAGGTTTAAGAATTTTAAAGTCACACCAGAGATTTATTACAACTGAAACTAACGATAATTAGGTAATTTTAACGAGTACTCAAGCTAGAACGTCGTATTCTATAGTATTTTAAAGCAACGAATGGAGGGCATCTTGAAGAGGGGTTGATTTCAATTGATGGAAACATGCCTTTTTCAGTTAAAATGGCATAAGATAAACTTTTTTTATGTTCTATATACATGTATAGGTTTTATTAATCGAGATCGATGGTATAGGGCAACAATTAATAGTTTTTCTTTTATTTTTTATTGATAAGTTGAAGCGTTCTCACCATCTTTAAAATATGATTGCTTCACAATTTTTAATTCTAGAGATTTATATAAAACGTTCTATTAATCATTTTTTAACACTTATAATATCTTTAAATGTATACGTTATGATTGTTTAAATCTTGTTAGAATTTATTACAGTACATAAAATCATTTTGAGTGTGTGTTTTTAACCATCTTAATTACATATTTACCAAGTATAATTGCCATGTTTCATGTATCACATCATTTATATGCATTTATTCATCTTACTAATATTATAAATGTGAAAGTTTGTATTATATTCTTTGGATTAATCAAGTATTGAAAAGTGAAGAAATATACATATTATACACATTATAACACAAATAACCCCATCAAATATTGTTTTAACGCGAAGATTTAAAAAGATACGTCACCAAATGTATTGAATAATCATCGATTAACGGGTAAAAGAACAGTTGAGAGCTTTCAGTGTTGACTGTAGCGTAGTTTTCCCAGCTCGTTTCCCCCATTTTCTGCTTGGGCGTGTGCTTAGAATAATGACCAACTTCCTGAATTTAACGATTTTGCGACGGAATCAGAATGAAAAAATGACTTTCTTTGAGATTTTACCACGAGCTCTAAACGCATCGCTACCTATTGTATTTGTCTTGTAAGAGTGGGTTTTTTTCGGGAATAAATATTTAACCAATTTTATCAAAAACACATTTAAAATAATAAACGTTGTGCTTCGATTTTTTTTGTTTTTTTTATTCCATTATGGCTCATTAATAAAAATATTCTTCTAACAATTAGTAAAGCTGCTTTTTAGTATTTTTCTTATATTTGTCATACAGTAGTTGCAGCTCTTTTTTTCAAATTTCAATTTATTTTTGTACCCTATAATAAATATTATATTAAATAACGTCCGAAGGTTCCCATTCATTAGTGATAAGGTGAAGCGTTCTTCTAGGACAGCTGCCAAAATTTGTTTCTACTTCTTTAATTATTGTTTGATTCTAAGATATGTATATGTTATGATGCCTCTCACTTAGAATTATAACTTATCCTAATAAAGAGTACCGTAAAACATGTAAAAAATACAGATTGTTTACATATTTTTCACATATTTTGTGGAGATTATTGAATAGGCCTATGTAAAATAAACAGTTAAATCAACGCATTAGCATAAAACAATAATATAAACAATATACGTAGGTCGGGTACATTGAGACGCACGATAAGGTTCTAGATAGCTCCGTTTCCACTCCATTACTATCGCTCACCGGAACACTATCGGTTAATAAACGCCACCGAACGATAACTATTGATATATGGTAGCAATTACCCATTGTTTGCGCGATCGTCAGCGATGCTGTTCTATCGAAAAGCGGTAAAAACGCGACCATGTTTCCGGTCTGGCTCGCATTATTGTCGTTTTCGGCCGTGGTGGAAGGGGCGACCAACTGTTTCTACTCGTCAGCACTCCTGTCGTACACGTTCTCCCACAGGGCCAGGGTCATCCCTAACTTCGAGCCCTTCATCATCACGCCCGAGGAGGACCTACTGGACATCCTCCTAGATCCTCTCAATATCACCGTTAATCGCTTCTTCTCCGCAGATGAAGTCGGTACCCATGTGGATATGCCGGGACGGTTTCACGTGGACGGATACCGCGTGGGTGAAATACCGTTTTGTGATTTCTTCTTGGTTCCTGGTGAGTAGTTTTAAGCAATTTCTACGATATTTTTAGAGTTTAGCTGTACTTAACCTGTTTAAATCGTTTCTTAAAATCGATCATTTCACATTACTTCTTGATGATGCTATGACTAATTAAAAAATACATGACCGTAATATTTACACAGTTTAATTTTGGATCTAAATTGATGACTTCATAATCTCATTTGATATTTATTAATCAAACAAAATACAGCTATTTTAACGAAGGTGATACTTTCGTTTAAAATAATCTTTTACCAAATATATTACGGTAATAACACTGAAAATAGTCTAATTAATGACACTCTAAAAAAAAAATATGTTCATTTTAGACGAGTACATACTAGTAAAGGATAGCTTTCAATAAAATACAACCGGGGACAATGTATCAATAACACACTGAATAAATTATTCTAATGTAAATATAAATATAGAATATCAAAATTGAGGTCCGGAGGTAACATTGTTTGATAACACTGCATACAGTTCGATTCTATAACAGATTTTATGAGTATTTTTTTGTTCCAATTCCAAAGCATTGTTTGAACAAGAACTACTTTAATCTACCGTTTCGTTTTAAAACAATGTTATTTAACCGAACAAATTAGTTTTCGGGGATTTATTTTTATAAAAATAGTACACAGGTTTATTCAAAATTTTACTGTTAAATTAAAATTCACGTAAAAGTTTACATTATGCTATCTTAAACAGTTTTCACGTATTTATGCATTTAAGAATCTTGCATGTATAGTCTTCATTGTGGATGTAGCCTCCGGATTGCCAAATACTATTAACAAGTTGTAAAAACCTGCTATTAAGCAATCCATTTAATTGCAGTTGCAACTAGTTTCGACTCCTATGTGGAGTCATCATCAGGCGGTACAAGGACTTCTTCTTTCTTCATATGAAGAGCGTCATATTTAACAAGTAAAAATGAATAAACATTTACACACGACACAAAACGTGGTTAGCGTCGTCTGTTGTCGTAACTGATCAGTAAATGTTTCGTGTCCGTAACGTGTTTTGTGTCGTGTGTAAATGTTTATTTATTTTTACTTGTTAAATATGACGCTCTTCATATGAAGAAAGAAGAAGTCCTTGTACCACCTGATGATGACTCCACATAGGAGTCGAAACTAGTTGCAACTGCAATTAAATGGATTGCTTAATAGAAGGTATTAAAACCTTTTTAATTGCATGTATAGGCCTAACTATCGTTAAATAAAATTTCATTCAGCCAGTAACAGTGTTATATGGCACAGATTACACTAATGAATCAATAGATTAAATTAAATCACAATTAACAGAATACTGATTATTTTATAAAACAGCTACATACTTACACATAAAATTTTAAGCATATAAATTTAATATCATTATTCTGGAAAAAACTAGTAAAATGAATTATAAATATACATACAGTATTTTTATTTAAGAATTAGGCTGCACTTTACTTTACTTTTTCATTCGAATGAAAATATCGATCGATATATCGATTAATCGATTGTATCATTTGATATATCGTTTGGTTAGTTAGGTAAGGTTAACCTAACCTAACTAACCAAACGATATATCGAATGAAACAATCTAATAATCGATATTTTCATTCGAATGAGTGTAGGACCTAAAGTAAAGTGCAGCCAAGAATTATATGTCATTTTATAACATAGACTACTTATTTATTTTATTTTTGGTAGGCAGTAAAAGACCATTATGACTACTCATATGAATTTATTTTTAGGAATCAAGGTAGATGTAAAGGCCAAGGCAGCACGTAATCGTGACTATGAGGTTACTGTTGAGGACTTGGAGGAGTGGGTGTGTGAGAACGGGCCACTGCCTCCTAGGTTTATTGCATTGTTTGACTTCGGCTGGAGTGACCGCTACGACGACGCAAGACGATACTTCGGAGACGACAGCCTTCTAGATCTCCTTCTGCCTCTGCAGTACAGCTGGCCAGGGCTCTCGTTGGGTAAGGTACAAGTCGCAGGATCCTGTATTTTTCTCAATAATTTAATACGCTTTTAATGTTTTTCAGACTAGATATAGGAGGTTTTTACTTTCGTGTTAGGATTGGTCTTTCGAATAATTGATAGATTTGTTTCCATATAATATTAATTTAAATCACAATTAGAGTGAATGAGAAGATACAAAAATTAAACCCAAGAAGATGCAATGTACTTGTATTACACAAAAGGTGACCTCCCGCTATCTCCGCGTCCCGCCACCTCCGTGTACCGCTACCTCCAAATTTCAGAGTGACCCCTATAATCCTCGGTTACTTCCTGCGTTAAGACTTTCCGTCCAAACCTAACCTAACCTAACTTAACCTAGCCTAACCTAACCTAACCTAACCTAACCTAACCTAACCTAACCTGACCTAACCTAACCCACGGGTTAAATTTTTATTAAACTTTCCATCCACGGGGTTTCGCAGCCGTGGATGCAATGACAGCTAACAACGCAGGCAGTGACGGGATTAGAAGGGTCACTCAAGATTTCGGAGGTGGCGGGACAGATTTGGGTTCGGAGATGGCGGAACGCGGAGGTAGTGGGAGCACACGACACAAAACGTCCAATTTTACTCCACTGTTTCCTGTCAAAGGGGGTTGATAAGGATGCTGTTTGACCTTGTCATGACAGTTATTTTCCTAATATTCTTAATACATCCTAGTTGTAGCAGGTAGTAGCAGAGAATTGTAACAAAGTAAAACAGAAATGATTCACTCAACATCGAGAAAGTAAGGGATAGCAGCAATTTTAATAGTTATTGTTTAAGGGCTTAAGGGTACCATACTCAGATATCCTTTAGCGTTCGAAATTGGACTTTTGATCAACTACTTTTTTCAAACTTTAATTTTCTTATAGAAACACCCTTTTTAAGACCCTGTTGATCAATAACTACTTTTATATACAGAGGCGGCAGAGTTCTTGGTACAGTGCAGCTCACAGTGTGTAGCTGTTGGTGTAGACTCTCCTGGTGTTGATACAGGATTCAACACTAGCCCAGCCGAGGCGATACCTCCCTTGGAGCCAGTATCAAGGTAAGAAGATATCGGTAAAATATTCTGCTGTTTGCTCCTCTAAAAGCTGTAAATACACATACAACTACTAAATTGCATAAAGCCTTCTATAAGCTGGGTGGACACACTAGTTTTAGAAAAATGAGACCTAGATCCTAATATTGTAATAGATGTCTTGAAACTAATTTTAAATTTATGATCGGACTTTATTTAAGTCTATATTATGTTTGGTCCTTAGTAAGTTATCAAACTACAATTTAATACTTCAGTACAATAATACAGTAATTGTAGTAGGCTCACTTAGCGGTTGATTTAGTCCATACAGTTTCATAAATTTCTATAAAGTACTATACATTTTTGGTTAAAACCAAAAATGTATACTCACGTACGTGTATATGTAGCTCATACAACTGTATGCATTCTTAGAATTAGTTTCTGTAGGTCTCAATACACTTTTGTTAAGCTTAATAGTAATTCAGAAATCCGATAGTAATACAGATGGATTCACAACTTATTTAAGTTTACATCACGTAAATAAAATACAAATAAGGATACATAAAAAGTAATTTCATTTCCACGTCAATGTTTATAAATAGTATTATTTTGAAACAGGATAGTATTATTTCAACATTCTTTGTGCATTACAAACGTCTGTAGTTTTCCCTGACAAAAGTGATCTGCTTTTCTAAAATTTGCGGTTGCCAGAAGTATATATGAAAAGAGACTGTTAGGATTCCTCTCGTTCCTCTATCCAGCCCTAATGATGATTGGATTGCTTTTATGTGAGTACAGGACGAGCATAGTTATTCAACTATTAGAAAAATAGAGTTGTATACTATGTAATAACATAACCATATCATCAATGTGTTTAAAATATACATTCATTCAGCTTTCGGATTGGAAATTAATTTTTCTTGTGTCTTTTTACTAGGACTTTTTAATTCGGTGTTAAAAAGTATTAATTCGCAGATTGAAAAAGAATTGGTGTTTAGTTGTGTTATATTTGACATGGTGGTTAGTTTAACCTAAAAGTTGCAATTTGTAAATCGCACTTTGTTAAATAACAATAGCTTAACGGATTTATTCATTTGTTTTTCCGTTTTTATGAGAAACATGTGCCTACTTCACTAAGTTAGTCTTGGGCATAGGAAGTAATCAAATAAATAGCCCAATGGGTAAAATTATAAAATGACATCGTGTCACACAACCGACCTAAAACCGGCAAAACCAATACACAATTGTGTGAATCAGTGCTACATTTTAACACTTGCCATTATCCAGGTATCTTACCCGTTACGGGGTGTATCTTCTGGAGAACCTCCAGCTGAGAGGGGTCAGTTTGCCAAACAGAGGGTTCTTCGTGACAGTTGGAGTGATCAACCTCCAGGTCAACACGGCAGCTCCAGCCTACGTCGTAGCCGAGTACTGTGAGAATCCTTACCCAGAGTTGATCTGCGCCGCACCCTGCATACTGGACGTCCTGTATGGAGTGCCCTACTACTAACTAGAAGAAGACCGGTATTGTATAGATAACTTGAGAAGATATTTGTTAAAGATCTTAACTTAATGTTACAAATAACCATTTTAAATTAAAGACATTTTCATTTGAAGGAAACCGCATATGAGACTAATCGTCCGAAATAACTGTAAGGGCTAGAAGAAGACAATTTGTAAAGGAAAATTGTAGTTTGGTCAAAAATTTTGTGGATTCTCTAAATTTTACATTTAAATGTATATCAAACTTACAGATTATCAATAACACTAGTCACTTGTCTAATCCGTTTAAACATGAATACAAAATAATAATTTAAAACTGTGTAAGTTCCAAATAAAACGCAAGGGTTGAACTTTTAACATTGGAAAAAAAATATGCCAGACCGATAATTCTGTAGTATGTTATAGGTTGTTACAGAATATTCAATTTGTTTTCTCAGGAGTAAGCTTTTAGTTGTATAAAATATAAAACTACCAAACCCATATCAGCGTATTTATTAAAATTACCTATTTAATATGATTTTTCACCTCTTATTGTGGATAAAACATAATAAAAGAAGTGCCTCGTCCATCGTAAAACGAACAACGATATTCAATAAATAACCTTTTGATAATGTGAATGTTTTTCGAATAAAATACAAGCTAAAATAACGAATACAGCTTTAACCATGTCACCTGCGGGAAAGCTGTATTTCAAGCAATGTAAATCATTCACTTTAACACCTGAACCTTGATGATATATGTTTGTCTGGGAGTTATGTAGTTGAAACACATAAATACGTAAGTGTTGCATATATATAACTTGTATTGTTACACACAGAGTCTGCAAGCGTTTGACATATACCTTTATTTAAATGCATATATTTAGCTGCAGCAGGAAATTATTATTTGTAAGCCACAACTCTAAATATTTATATATAAATTACATATTATAATCTGACAGTATCACAAATATATTCTTGATATCTTTTACTTTATGAAATATTTATGTTGTGTCTATAAAAGGGATTTTCTCTTTTGCAAGAAAAAGGCACTCGCTGCAGTCATTCCTATCGAACTTAGGCTTTTGTTTGATAAGCATAATTAAATAACAGCAAAAGGAACAATAACTATACCCGGGTCCGAAGTTGATACGTTAGCGGTAATAAACCCGCAATAGCGCACACCTTCAAATCTAAAGATATCTGGTTCTATTCTCAAACAATATTGCTTCTGGATGACTTTTGACTTTAAGCTATAAATTTATGATTTTATTTTACAAAATCTTGTCTTAAGGTATTAAAAACAGGGTTTGGATTATTCCCATTATAAAGAACGTATACTATGCCCATGGTTTGGAAATACAAAAAAATTATATTATATAAATATTAATTTTAAAAGTACATAAAAGTATTAGGCTAAAACTTTTTTATATACAAATTAGACTTATATTTCTCCTAAAATTTCACTATTAAAATAAGGTTTGCTTATTTAAAATCATTAAAGGCAAAGTTATTTGACTTTTCATGTATATTTTATGCAGATTGGAAGAAAATAAGGGAACAAGAAAATATTCTGGTGGCAACTTTACAGGCCAGGCTTTGTCGAGCGTGACATTGTTACCCTTTAGAAATATCTGACATTTTATGACCGTCTGCGATAAGAAATGTTCAAGGCATTGTTCTCTTCCCATGGGAGATGGGCGTCCGTATTTTTGCTGCAAGTGATAAGGGACCTAAAATACAAGCTCTAGATATTGAAACAACAAATCTGTCGATAACATAGAAGTAAGTTGCTGTTAAAAACGATTATCTGTTATGAGTACACTGTTTTTTTTTACCAAAGATTTTGGTATTGGTCCAATGGAATATGTTAACAAGAGAGGATTACCTACGCTATATACTATATAGTTGTATTTAATAATTACAGTTTGAACCTGATCGTTAGGAAAGTTTTTTTTTTTTTTTTTTTTTTTGAGATATCAAAACTGAAATGTATTAATCATAGCTGAAATGCTTTAAATTTAACCCTTAAAGTAGGAAAATGTGTCTACAACAGCAAATTAAGTAGCCTTAATTATCCAATACAAATCAGTAGAATATAAGTTGACCAGTTTTGGTAAAATAGCTCATCGGTAAAATAGCACGTGAAATTCATTACCTTATTTTACAATTCTTAATTTATTTAAACAGGTAATCACTCATACAAGAGGCACTTCATTTAGTGTCTCAAATGGTTAAAGAACACGTAATTCTATAAGTTACATCTCGTAAACTTTAAACTTCTGCCAATTCCACCAATTAATATTTGTAACAAAATTATGGAATATACTAAAATACTAGCTTTTTAAGCTTAAATAATTCATTGTAAATTAATTTTCCTTAGTTTTTTGGCAAAGTTGAGACAAGAAAGGAGGTGTTTGAATTTTCCAAAGTTAAATTTCAAATGACGTTTTATCATGAATGATAATCTTAACTTATCACCCCAATTTAGAAATATTTGCGAAATTTTAGATAATTGTGATATTTCTGTGTAATGAACAAGGTAAAGTATAGTGACGCCTGAGCGTGATCGTATCGTACACAATTGGGTGAGCTTCCTTATAGGAAAATTTGATCATGAAAATATTGTGTCAGATATTAAAAAAAGTGTATTTATTAACTCAAACTTTTAAGTAACTAATGTTTGATAAAACATACGTGACCTTGGTAAATTTGTTAATGTTCTCTATATCAAAGTGTTTTTTTTTTACATTTTTTACTTATCCACTGTTAAGTATAATTTGAGAATACTATCATTATTAAAAATGTACTACCATACAAATAGTTAAACTTTTAGTTTATACTTAGTTAACTACAAATAATGTTTTATGGTTGTTTTTAAATCTTTCCATCAACGAATTTAACAATATAGAACTATTTATTCCTCTATTTAAATAAAAATCATAAACCAATATCCATTGCATTTTATCCATTTATTAATGCATAAAAATATAAGCCTATGAAACAAGTTATAATTTACGTTTTATTTTGTTACGATGTAAAGTAAACATTTTAAGTTGAGTGCCTTAAGGTCTGAGAGATGGTTAGGTGAATAAGCGAAGCAGTTAACAAGATTTATGACTTTGGGCAGAGGTTTACAATAAAACTGGTTACCACGAAAGAGTATTTAGGGTAGTGGAATAAATTATAATCAAATTTTGTAAATAGAATAATTTACGTGACGTATGATTTTTAATTGTTTGTGGGTTAACACAATAAAAGAGCGTTTTGAAAATAATTTTTTTTATATCGAGCAAAACTTGTATGCATTTTTATTTTAGTTAACATTGTGTAGCCTACAAATCATATCTCAATTAACATATTTAAAATTTAAACTTATAATAAGATTCAGTAAGACTATGATTGTAGTAGTTTAGCTTGGATGTTTAATGTTGGTACAAACAAAACCTGACAAGCGTGAAATGAGCCAACATTTGTCCGGCGTCTCAAGAGAGGTGAGGGTGATATTTATATTTATATCTTCACTTTGTTTATATATATACGTGATTTCGTTCACTGGACATTATTTCGAATCGTGGGTGATCTAAATCAAGAAAATAATAAATATTATTAGATTTTTTATCGCAATAAAACATTATTTTTGAATTACCATTGATTGTTTTCACTCTTGATTGGTTGATTTTACTCTTTAAAAGTGAATTAAAAAGTTAAATTGTTGCATGACTAGGAAACAAAACTGACATAATTAATTCTTCAAGTATATACTTTGGCTAAGGGTAATCCAAAGACTATGGTCAAATACAAATCTATAGCGTTTTTCAAACGACAAGCTTATTAGAAGACTGTATATGTATTGTGCAAAGTATAATGTCTTATTTGGTTTTTTTACTGTGTATAGTCACTTAGTCTAATATGAGATATTTACGCACATCTGTACAACAACCTAGCTAATTTAGTCACTTATTTATTTTATCTGCTTTTACCAATTCTTCAATCATAACATTACATGTATCAAAGTGTCAAACCTGTTTACATGTATGTCCAACATTAGACAAGATATTTAACACATTAGACAAGACATAGATATTTAACTATCCACTCAGTGAAATGTAAACAAAATGTAATGATGTAAATGTAGATTTTTTTTTAAGAAACCTTTTAGGATGTCCAATGAATATATTAAGACATTTGACGTCATATCACTAGCGCATTTATGCACCGAAAACGGTGAAACCTTATTCAAAATTTATGAAGTTCTAAAAATGTATTTCATGTTGGATAAAAACATATAAGTGTTGCCGTTGATATATTGATTCTGGTAGGTCTACTATGAGTTGTGAAGCACAAAAATAATCCATTACCTCTCGTGGTTGACCTTCTCTTGTTGGATAGACAAAGTAAAGAATGCTTAAAAATAATCATTTGCATGTTTAAAACTTAAGTGGCAGGTTACCAAAATACTTGTAAAAGTTCTTCCAGTAAGTAGAGTGTCAGTAGCCACCTTTTGAGTCTGTTTTTAAAATACAAGGATCCACAGTATAAAGGTAAAGAGACAGTCAGTTGTTCATCGTCATTGCTTACACAATCAAACTGCTTTCATTTATATAGTTTATAATGCAGAAGGGGATGTTAGTATTGAATGTCGACCTTGTATAGTGGTCTCCTCTGAATTTGAAACTGGCAATATTCGTCTCAAAGTTGTTCAATGTGATTATAATGTACTGATTATAATTTATTTGGATGTCAGAATCCTATATAAAGGTCTACCATGTTCGTCGTATCCACTAGATAAAATTAATACTGCTTACAGCCAGCTGAATGGCTCCAAACCTCCAACCCTTAGGTAAGATGGATATGTAGCGAAACAAAGTAAACAGTTTGCAGGTACTTTTTACTGAGCATGCGTTTAAGGTCCCTGAGAAGATGCAATGTCATAGCTAGCTAAGTGCAAACCGTTGAAAGTGTGAAGTTGATTTGATTGTGAAGACTTAAAGGTAGCGTCAGTTCAGGCAGTTTCCTAAGAGCCAGACTGCAGGACATTTTTTTCGTTTTGTTTTTATTTAGGCGAAGCTCGTTTGTTAAGCACCTTTCAGTGACCTCAAAGGACTGTTGAGTCTCGACCCTTGCTTCTTCCAGAGTATTTCCTCCGCATACATAGTCGTGTCATCTGCAAAATTTAAGATGTTGCTAAACTGCCTGAGAT